CGTCCTATGCAGTCTCTTGGAGTAAAATCTATATCAAAGTCGCAGCTAAGTTCGCACTTGAGCGTATTGTTATTTGTACGTAAACTAAAGCGATTTGGAGCTTTTATATTTTTATATACGCGCTTAGCTCTTCCAACTCGTATGCACCGTGAGGAATTCCTATTCCGTGGGAATTATCACCTCTCCTAATATAGAATTTATCGTTTCCCGCGTGAATATTTCTAATACTGTTACAGCCATAGAAACCGACCACCCCTATTACGTACAATTTCTCCGATGGAAGGTGTAGGGTGGATAAAAATCATGACTGGCTGTATTCCCAACGCCCTCTATGCTGAAGGTTGTCGACATTGTGACTACAGGTACCGAGATAAAATGCGTGTTATTTATACAGAAATTTTAAGCACAGATGACCGCAATTCGTTGTTCCAAATTGTTGCTCTTGCTCGTAATTATAATAAATTTTACAGTCGCGGAAATACTCAATCACTTCTCGTGGTGGTGGAATATTACCGAAACTATCATAGTACCACGTTTTTTGTAAGACACCCAATGAGTGCCACACCCTCGTTATCTAAATTAATAACACCGGATTCATTTTTCCATAGCGATATAGGCATACTATCTCGCATAAACACATCCCTAAAGTATGGTACACACCCTCTTGCATGCTTACGTAGATCTACATCTGTCAACGGCCGCTTTGGCAATTGTTGAAGTTTTTTTTTCGTAAATGCAACGCCAAACTACCTCCCGATTTGTAAGGTTTCAAGTACAGTGCACCGCCACTTTTATTTCCTATAGCGATCGAATCCATCGTGCGATTATGGCGTGATGTTTTATCTAGCATTTTACGAGCGTCACGGGATGCATTAACTGCTTTAGCAATGCCTGCAGCACCGCCGGCTAAAGCTCCAACTGCGGACAGACCAGCAAATAGGGGTATCAGGAATGGTAAAAACCCGCCCTGTTTTGGTATGGGAATTATTCTAGGCACGCTTACATTTTTCCTACCACCTAAACATTTTACTGCCATATTTGCTGCCGTAACAGCTGACTTTATTATGTCCACAGTATTGCCGCTTTTCCTCATTTTCTTAGCAATCTTCCTACGCAAGTTCAATAAACTGCTCTTCTTCCCCTTAACTCCCATCCGGGACTAATTTGGTCGTTTTTGAATTTCAATAGCTTCTCTAATCAGCCGAGCTTTTAAATGTTGTATTTGGAGCAATTTAAAAGCTCGACTGATTAGAGATACTATTGAAATTCAAAAACGACCAAATTGCCTTAATAAACAAGTGGATATTTTACGACTTCCTCGCATTTGGAACAATATAATCAAGACAAAATCTAAACCCATTTTTAACATTCAAGATTCAAGTTCTCCTGATGAAGATTTAACCTTTTCGACATCTACACTAGAACCAGTTTATACCCTTCAAAATTCAAATTCTGAAGATTTAACAAGCTCAACTCCTAAATTAGATCCCATTTGGACCCTTCAAAATTCAAATTCTGCAGATCAAGATTTAACAATCTCAACTCCTAAATTAGGTCCCATTTGGACCCTTCAAAATTCAAAATCTCCAGATGAAGATTCTCCCAGTTTGACAACTAAATTAACCTACCAAGGACCCATTACACGAAATCGTTCTAAATTTAATTAATTTATCATAAGATAGCGTACTTCATTTATACATCATTGTCAATTAAACTTGAAAAAGGGGAAAGAGTGTTCCTCGAAACGTAGTTAGTTGCCTAAATAAATAAACTGTGTGTGTGTTATATATATATATATATATATATATATATATATATTATTATTTATTATATATTGTATTTAACGAATATTGTTGTAAAGGACTCTTATGGTAAGTAGGTATATAAAATTAAAAGACTGTGATCGTAAAATTAAGCCAATATTTTATATTTTTATACCGGGTCTTCATCAATTACTGAGACCCACGTGACCAAATTTAAATTTCCCGCTTTAAATATTTTTTCTTTATGTTGGTAGACACGGACAGTTGGTTAAAACAAAATACCCAAATTGCATATTTGTTTATTTCACCTCCTGTCAATCTTTGCTTGTGTTTACCGTTTTTTTCGAATTTCTTTAACATTATCTTAAATCAACAGCCAAAACAGTTCTTTTCAGAGCTCTTAACGCTACGAAGTTATTCTGATGTAAGTTAACAATTTTTTAAGGAGAATTGTCATTAAGTTATTCTGAATTTTTAGTGTATCGCTGTAGGAAGATGGTGTTCACACCAGAGCAAGATGCTTTTATTTTAATGGCACATTTCCGCAGTGGTAACCGAAATCCTGATGGAACTTGGAGCTATTCACTGCAATCGTGCATTGAACAGTTTTCCGAAGAGTACCCTGATGTTAATATCGACTACGATGTATTTAAGAACCACAGGTCACGTCTAATAACACGATATGAAAACAAGCACTGCATTTGCAAAGGGAAGTCCGGCAGACCGACTGTTTTAAGTGAAAATGTTGTTAACGATATTCAACAACGAATGGAACAAAGTCCCAAAAAATCGATTTCTCGACTTTCCGCTCAAACAGGTACGGCTAAGTTTACGTGTAATAGAAAATAAAATGTATTTTTTATAGGCCTATCGACTGGTACCTGCCACAAAGCTTTGAAGAAGGTGCTACACATGCATCCGTACAAAATTTCTTCCGTGCAACAATTACATGCACTTGATTACGATCGTCGAGTGCAATATTGCCACTGGTTCAACGAACGCTTAAACGATAACAATTTGTTAGACCTAACGTTTTATTCAGACGAAGCATGGGTACATTTGTCAGGTTACGTTAATAGCCAAAATTACCGGACTTGGGCAGCAGAAAATCCGCACATTTTTGTCGAAACATCTCTACATCCCCAAAAGGTTGGCGTTTGGGTAGCCATGTCAAGAAGGAGGATAATTGGACCGATTTTTTTTATGAAACTATAAACGGAGAGCGATATCGTGCAATTCTGCATCAAGCTATTGAAGAAAATCTGCAAGATGATGAGCTACAACATGGATTTTTCCAGCAAGATGGAGCCACGGCACACACCGCTAACGAAACGCTTAGATACCTCCAAGAATTTTATGGCGATCGAATTATAAGCACTGGTTTGTGGCCTCCAAGTAGTCCTGACCTCACACCATTGGACTACTTTTTGTTTGGACGAATTAAAAATAATATATTTAAAAATCGGCTGCACACACTCGAAGAATTGGAAAGGGCGATACGACAAGAAATAAACGATGTGACGCAAGATGAAAACGTATGAAGCGTAGAGTGAATTTGTGCCTGGAAGTGAACGGTGGCCACTTTGAGCACCTTTTGTAACAATAAATAGTACAATATATTTCGTGTTTCTCTAAAATACTTAATTCGGCCTTCAAATATTACTGGGCTTCAGTAGTAACTTTCCTAGGGGAAAAAAATCAGGATTACCACTCGCGCATTTTTAGTTGCCTAACCACCTGCAGTCACGTGGGTCTCAGTAATTAATGAAGACCCGGTATTGTAATATTGGCTTAATTTTACGATCACAGGCTTTTAATTTTATATACCTACTTAGCATCAGTCCTTTACAACAATATTCGTTAAATATAACCATTCTTCTTGCAGGTTTAGTCGTTTTAAAATTGCTTGACGTTCTTGCTTCCTCGGCCATCTACATTCCATTTGACTAGATTGATCCATACCGTTGGGACCGCACTTACATATTCCTCGCCATTACACATCACATAACCTCGATTAAGCTGTAGTGATGCTTATTATTGATTCCTAGTTCTGGAAGTACACTTGAGCTATCTTCGCACCTCGCACTTATCAATTAAAATACATATGATAATTTTTAAAAATTCAAATTTATACTTACTTTTTATTTATAGAAGAATGCGCTTATAATCTATTAGAGCACCGAAAGACTTTTAAGGCGGTTGCACATCAAACGCAAAGGGACTCACAACCATAAGCATAATTTATAGTTAGTATACCACACTACTATGAAACAGTTTGAGGCTTAGGGTATAACAACTATATGTTAACAGTTAAAGAATAGCATTATCTTCAAACAAATATTTAGGATTAATTTCAATCATTTATTGCTTATGGTAAAATACTATTGCTAGGTGTTAAGCTATCTTAACTCGCCATAATTGAGTAAACCATTTGGTAACAAAAACATTTTATTTGTTTGTTGACATTTAAACTTAATATTTGTTTACTGTAACCAAACTTTTTTCTCAGTGATTGTGCTGTGCGGGTGTACGTTTTATTCGGTTTTATTATACCTAGTGTACAAAGAGCTGAAATTTACGCCATACCCCAAAATGAGTGAATTTAAGTCATTACTTATTAAATGGGGACTTGATGTATATTTCGACGATTTCTTAGGTAAGTAGAAAGAGTTATATTTTTGCTATTATTGCTGTGCTGTCTATCGAAATTATTTTTCAAGTTTTTAAGCTACTGATGAAAATTGTTCAAATTTTATGTCGTAATGCGAGTAAACGCCAAATGTATGGCCATAATTTCAAAGTATGTTAGTCACCTAAAAGCATATAGGTACTGCGAAAAACGCCTTGCTAAAAATTTTATTTGCACTCTCAACCATCCACTACGTCTCACCATTGTACGAGTATTTAAATACAATGGTCTCACGCTCACAGTTGAGAGAGATATCTGTGAGGGTAATAATTGCAAATCCTGTCTATTTTAGTCTCAATCTCAATTAAACTTCAACAATGACATAAATTATGTTGAAAATTTGTGACGGGCAAATTTTGGAAATATGTAGCTGAATATAAGGACGAATTAACTGCACTTTTATTCAATACGATCCCATTAATTTTTTAGGAGGTATCAAGTTTGAAATCCAAATACTATAGAGAGTGTTTCAATGTAAGAGCCGTAATTTTAGGAGATTCCTTGATTAGAATTTGCGTCGCGTCCTACACAAGTAATAAATGATAGTTTCCAGGAACAGTAATTTCTAATTTTAATAAATTTTTAAAGTAGCTACTTTTCTTGAAAAAAATTATAAATTTCAAAATTTTGTATCTCATGTCCGTAAAATGGCTTGCTATACTTGCAATTAATCGCTCGTAGTAGCAAGACATACATTATTTAAAAATCTGTGTTGCAAATAACTGTTGCAATTATGCTAATATTACTGCAATTTCATTTAGCGGAGGGGATCACAGATGAGAGTTTCCAATTATTAGATGAGGAGACCATTAAATTAATAATAAAAAGTCTGGGCCACGACTTCTGTTCAATAAACACTATCGTGACTGCATGTTAACTCTGTGTGACAATGAATATTACATCACAATTTATTAATTGTATCTTAAGTGGTATTTTCTTTTGTTTTTCATTTTTTATTGTTAGATATAGGATTGTTGTTGTTTTTAAGTGTAATATGTACGTTTTTCTTTTTTTTCTAATAAATACCGTACTGTAATAAGTCAATTAAAAACCATTCTAATTTAACTACGTTTCTACACTTTATGTCTGTTGCCAAGTTTTCAAATACCTACGATAATTGATGTAATTACAAATAAAATTAAAATTTGACTGTAATCAAACAGGTACAGAAAACTCTGTTTAATTATCGTGAATAACAAGTTGTGTAGTCACATATAGTATTACATTTTTTTAATTACTGCTAACAGCTTTTTCTCTCAGTGTGCTTAGATTCATATTTTAATAATTCAGAATGTATTAATTTATGCATTGAATTGGGGCTTCCAATAATGAAAGAAACCGAAGCTCAATATCTTCAGGTATGTTGTATGCTATTATTCATTGTTTCCGATGTTACTTTTGTTTTTTCCAGTACTGCTTCATGCTTGATTGTTATGCAACCCATTGCGACTGCAATAGACCTGCTGCAGAACGAGAAAAACTGCTACTATGGGATGCTACTTCCTACTTTAATGTCGCTAGAAGCAAGATTGGATATGGTTAGAAGAAACAATACAAAATCGCTTCACTACAAATAGTAGCGGAGGGTTTGCTGAATAATTTGAGGGAGCATTTCCCCATCTTATCCCTCGAAGAAGCAGAGTCAGAGAAGGCTATAATCGCAGCTTGTCTGCATCCAGACAGTCTGAAGGTATGATTCCGAAAACGGCAACAGCGTCAGGCGACAGACGACAGCAACAGTGCCGCTATACCATTGTCGATGGCGGCGAAAAATCTGAGTTTGCATACGATTAGCGACCCGACAGTACTGGTCAATAGAGCTGGGTCGTTCATGAACGAATCGTTCATTTTGAACGACTCATGTACGTGAATGAATGAATCGATTCGTGTGCGGCGCTGCGAATCGTTCATCGTTCAGACGTTCATCATAAAATCGTGATTCGTGCGCCACTGCGAATTTCGAAGCCGAACGAAAACGAATCGTTTGAAATGAATCGCTGCCACCGTAAGATTTAAAATCACATCACTTAAATTTGAATCGATTTGACACGAACGAACTAGGTACTAGGATAGGAGTAGAATTCTTAGAAAATTCTATGCCGCGTTGCGTAGTGAGGTTAGGTAACTGCACATAAATAAAATTACTTAGAAAAATAATATCTAATAAAATAAACATGGATTAGGGGTAATGGGTACAAGCGGTAGACACACTTACATGTTATAGTTCAAAAATATGATTTTGGATAATTTTTTTGAAGTTAAGCTTCTTCTACGGTGAGTTAAAATATTTCCCCCTTTAGAAAAAACTCTTTCACACGGCACCGAACTTCCTACTATGCACAGTCTTTTCTGCATTACTGCAAATAATCTAGGGTAATAAATTTTATGTTCGCGCCACCATGTGAAAGGATCTTGTTTTCTTCCTAATAGGGGTTCTTGAATGAATTTATCAAATTCAATAATGGCAGCAGCGATTGGACTAATGTTCGAATGAAGTTTAGATGTGTTCTCGTCAAAGTCGTCCCATATTGAAGATTTATGCTTTTTCGGTGGGTGCGACAGTAGAACCACGACACTTCCGGCGCCATCTTGGATTTTATTCGCGGGGTCAATCAAGGTCAATTAAATTGATTGGTGGGGGCCGTCCACGTGGCCGGGGGTGTTTTTGGTTGATTTCGTGGAATTTGGACTTTGATTTGGTTAATTAATTAAAAATTGTGGGATTTTGGTCTTTATTGACATTTGATTTGATCGATTAATTTATTCGGTGGCTTAATTAATTTAATTCGCGGTTTGATTAATTTAATTCGCGGTTTGATTAATTTAATTCGCAGTTTGATTAATTTAATTCGCGGTTTGATTTCTTGGAATTTGTTCTAATTAATTTAATTCGCGGTTTGATTTCCTGGAATTTCCTTCGATTAATTTAATTCGCGGTTTGATTGATCTAATTAATTTAATTAGAAGGCATAATAAAGAAGCTAATTACACATATGTAGTAAATAATTGCACATATGTAATGAGTAATTACACACATGTAATTATCCTAAAATTAAAGACAAAATGGTCGCCAAAGGCGGGAAATTCAAATTTTTCTCTATCTCTATCCTCTCTCTCTCTCTCTCTCTCTCTTACTCAATGCGTTTATCTCTGTCTTACACATTGCACTTAGTTCACTTCACTTTTCTGAAATAGAAGCTAGAAATAAGCAAACATGTTTTAATTACCTATATTTATTGCAACAATGCCTAAATCCACAGAACATATGTACAAGCTTAAAAACTAAATATGTACACACTAAAAACTAACTTAAAACTAATATGTACAATCTAATCTAACTTAAAACTAATATTTACAAACTAACCTACCTTAACTTAGCTATTTTAAAAAATGTGATTGTATCTACCGGTTACCTCACCAACACGCACATGAAGGACATCGTATTTGTTTACTAAGTCCCGTACACTATCACTACAAAGCTCCAAAATAGCACTGGAGTGAACAGCTAATTGTGGGTAATCGGCGGCTCCATTCAGAGGGTTGTCATCAGCCCACGCAACTAGTTGCTGGACAGCCTCGGCACGAACTATAACCTTGTTATGCAACTCTACGCGTTCCGTATTGAGGTACGCCGCTGAACGACGAAGGTTCCGCACCTCTTCCCGCTGATTTACCTGACGGGCATGAAGTGCTGTAACTTGATTCCCGAGTACTCTGGGTAAACACCCCCGTTGCACTCCAGTACTTAGTACGCTCCGCATGCATAACTCCCGCAAGGCCATTACATGGGGCCTCTGCAGCGGGACGGCTCGACACCCCAAGCCCGTTAGATAGTGCAGGACAGCATCTCCTGGCAACCGTTCAACATCCTCCGCTAGCTCCCTGAGGGCCTTGAGGTTAATTTTGGTAACTTGTTCGCTGTCCATTTCACAAAGAAACACGTTTAACAGAGTAACTACACACGAGTCGCGGACGGCGCTGCAATGTTAGTGGACACGATGCACGAAAAAAAATGAGTAGCAAATTTCAGACATAATTTCGGGAAATGCAAATGAGAGTCCATGTACATTAAGGGTCCTATATTGTTCTGCTTGTTTACTTTTACTTTAAAACGAGAAATCCGTACTTAAGCCGATACTCATAAAAGGGCTACTAAGGGTGCGGTCGAAAACTTACTGCAAATGCATTGTTTGCCGAGAATACATAAATAAGTGGTCATAAATTTACTGACGCTTACTACATTTACTTCAACTTTAGTGAATAATTTAAAGTACGCATGCGTCAATTTTTACACCTTTTACTGTAAATGCTTCTCGAAAATAGGTGGTAAAACGACAGTAAACAAAACAGCTGATCAGTTTAAAATGGAGTTAACCTTAATTGATGCTGATACTAATAAAGAATTTAAGTTGTTCCTGAATGAAGAGGATTACAATAAGGCCGTTAATGGTAATATGCTTCAAATTACTTTGAAATTCCTAAAATGTGTTTGTAATTTACTTTTTTAGATGTCACATTTGCAACAGTACTTTTACAACATGCAATAATTAACAGTAAAGCCTCTTCTACTGTTCCCGGGAATAAGAATCCAACACGCCAATCATTGGATACTGATACTGAAACATTAGGAATTAACTGTTCACAGGAATTACCGAATGACAGTGAAGACGTACTGTTGTCCCCATCAAGTGACAATCTACTGTTGTCCCCAGCCAGTAACAATCCGTTGTCCCCATCAAGTGACAATCTATCGATACCGATTAATGAAAATGATTCGGAAAATACAGAAGGTATTGTAAAATGTATTCTATATTGAAGTAATACTTTTCGTAAATTGTAGATATTTCTGGCCGTTGGTCACACGAGGGAATATTATTATTGCTGGATGTATATCATACAAAATCAGATTTGTTGGTAAAGGGTAAAATAAAACAGAAACTGTTTTGGGAGCAGATTGCTTCTTTAATTAATAAAAAGGGATATAATGTAACAGCAAAGCAGTGCCAAACAAAACTTGCTACCCTTAAGCGACAATACAAAAAAATTAAGGACTACAATAACACTTCAGGCAACGATAGAAAGGAGTGGATTTACACAGAAGTATGTACAGTTTATTCTTATACTATGTAGTTTAGTGATATTTTAGAAAATGGATGAACTATTTGGCAATAAACCGTGGGTTGAACCTGTAGCAACAGCATCCTCTTCTCAAAACCCAGAACCATCACTTAACTTGCCTGCGACGATGCCTTCTACACCGACAAGACCTAGTCTATCAAACACACCCCAAAGTAGGTGCTTATTGTTTACATGTAAATTATTCATATCTTATTATTTAGAGACCAACTCAAAAAAAGTAGTCGACATTCTTACGAAAATTCGAGAGGACCGGGAAAGACACCACAGTGAAAGAATGGCCAAAAGCTCGGAAGCAATTGCTTTATTAAAACTCTTGGTCGAACAAATTGCAAAATAAAAATGAAAAATTTGTAGATATTTATTATAATAAAAGTGTTTTGATGTTTTACAGTGCATAAGAGTATTGTTATATTGTCAAATGTCATATGTCTTCACGGGTAGGTAATGCAGCAGCAATTGCATCACGTTTTTGTTTAGCCAATGCCTTTTCGTTTGTATCTACATTGCCATTAACTCCACATTGAGTGTTATTCTTATCGGATGTATGCAACGCTAAAGGTTGAAACTGATCATTTTTTAAAAGGCAAATATTATGTATAACACAGCATGCAATAATGTATTGTGGAATAAGGTCAGTTCTGATCATGGGAAGATTATCTAATAATCTTCTCCTTCTTCCCTTAAGAAGTCCAAATGATCTTTCAATTACCATTCTGGTGGACGAGTGACAATAATTGTAGTTTTTTTGAGCTCGAGTTAGGTGACCATTGTCTTTGTAAGGCACCATCATATGCGTATGCAACATATACGCAGCATCTCCTAGTAAGTGTACATCACCAGGAAATTTGGCAGCACTCTTTAAATACTCTGCTACTTCGGATTTCATAAAAACCCTTTGGTCATGCACTGCACCAGGATACCCTGCATAGCAGTGTATAAACATTCCTTTTTCATCACAGACACCCTGGAAAATATCTATTATATTGCTTTGTAGCCAAATATGCAACAACCTGTAATTGTATCGAATGTATTCCTTTTCGGTTCACATATGCCTCTGGATGCTCTTTTGGAGCTGTAATTGAGATGTGTGTGCCGTCAATTGCACCGATTACACCTGGAAAACCAGACATATTTTTAAATGCTGCTACACTTGCAGTAATTTTTTCAGTTGTTGGCCACATAATGAAACTGTGTGAATAGTTGTACAAAATTCTAACTACGTTCCTCACACATACTATTGCAGTAGCTTTCCCAACACCGAAACGATCACATACTGATCTAAAATAGGTTAGCATGAGTATATAAATTTATCATATCAACATGTCCAACCTATAAGAATCGGGAGTTCCCAGAACCCATAACGTTATAAGAAGTTGCTTTTCAGCTGGTATCGCAGGTCGTCCTGGTTTTACCGTTCTTTCTCTAATTTTGTCCGCTATTAATTCTAAAATAACTTCAAAGGTTCTCCTTTGCATTCTGTAAATGTAAAAACATCAATAAATCAATAGCTACTTTATACAAAATAAGAATAATGGCACACCAACCGGTTCTGGCTTTTGCTATCGGAGATGTAATTCTCTTACCTAAAATGTGATTGAAATTGTGAATCTCCATATAAGTGTACCACATTTTCCACATAATTTTCAATTCTAGGAGTAGCTTCCTTTCTCTTGTACCGTGTATTTGCGGTAATTGCAAAAAGCTCTTCATCTGAACTACTAGAATCATCTATGATTTCTAATAAATTATTTATTACCACAATTTTTAAAACATTCGTATCCATTTTCATGAATAGAAATAGAAAGTGAATGATGAATGATAGATATTGAAGGTTATGGTAAGATCACAAATGCACAGTTTACTGAAAGCTGGTCTAAATTTCAAAACGTACAAATTGTAATATCAGTAAAAGCAAATAAAAAACCCCTTTACTGCGGTTACGCTGCTAGCTTTGCTGTATTTTTACGTAGTAAGTTTTCGACCGCACCCTAAGTAATATTGGATACCAGATGATTCCGGTTAATGGTCATTATATTGTACTATTTGATTGCTTTTCTGAAAACTAGAAATTTTGAATGCATTTGCAAATGAAAAATAAGCAAAGGCGTTTTAGCGCCAGGAGCACAGGTATTAGGGTAGGCGCCAGGATTAACTTCTTCTATGAATTGCACTATGATTTTAGCGGGAATCGTTTTTCGGTAGAAATTAGCATAATTGTGTCTACTGTAAGTCTTTTGTTAAAGAGTATAAGGGGTTCGTTTACAGTAAGTAGTGTTTACCTGAAACCGATCCTTTTCTTTCAATTTTACTTCTTTTAAATAAAACGCCCAAATTCATTTTCGTGTTTATTCTACAAATAAATTAAGCTTATAAAAAGTTGTGTTGTACAATAAATCAATTATATCATCATTACATTCTAAATCGTCATTAAACATATCCCTAAATTCATTAAGTGATAAACCATTTAATTTGAACAATAAATATAATATACAATATTGTCCGCAATAAGTTGATAAGGGGTGCTGGATCACTTTCGTGTTAAACGTGAAGTGCCGCGTATGTTTTTTCAAAAATTTGAGATGTAATCCGCTTGGGGGTCGACCAAATGAATCGAAATATTCTCCATTTCCATCTTTATCTATATAAATTGCGTTCCAATGTTCCCCTGACCGTGTTGAGACGTCTGTATTGACAATTGTAGCGAAGGGGCGTCGTACACTTGTACGTAGGAGTTCATCTGATGCGAAAACAGCACGCGCAGCCTTCTTCTGAATCAGATTCAACGATCGTTGAAGTTCTAGGGTATTCATTGATGGAATCAATTTGTGCCCATTCGTACAAAATTAATGCATTTTCTTGAGCGCACATAAACGTGTTCTCTGCGTGATTGAGGCAGCGCAATCCACTATGGTTTTTCTTTAACTTCTTTAGGGACGGACACCCAACGTCTTCCAGATTAATTACAAACTTGTCGAGGAAATTTAACAAGTACTGCTTCTCCACTCCTTTGACGTATACTCTATTGAAGGGTTGAAGTAATGTACGTACTTCTTCTTCAAAGTTCTCGAATGTAATGTAGCCGAAGTCCCATTTCAATCCATGATAACAGTCTTCTAAGAATTTGATTTCTTTTTTCATAGATGATGTTACACTATAATTGGTGGGCGGTTTAATCAGTAAAGTTGTGCAACTAGGTCCCTCTGACGAGACGATTGATATTTCTTTCGGAATAAACTCCTTTAAACTGCCACGGAATCCTTGAAAGTCGACGTAAGCGTCCATCACATGTAACATCGTCTTATAAACTGCGGTGATTAATTATAACATTATAATTTTATTCCTTCTGTCATGCGCACTAGCTTTTTTTCCAAAATAGGGGAGATGATGTAATCAAGTTGATGAATTCGTCTTTGGAAACGGGCGGCATCTATTGCGTACTGCATCCAAGGTCCTTTTCTAGCTTGGTGGTGTGCATGTGGCCATGTAGAGATGTAATGTACACTATTCCGGGAGTCGTCAAAAGAAACTTTTTTAAATGTTAAAGTCTGCGATGACATTTCGGTGTTTGTCTATCTCTACCACATTGTCGAATTCAGCGTATACGAGGCAATTCACTGTCTCAGTCAATGCGTCTTGAAAGCCAACTTCGATGCGGAGAGAACCGTTCTTCACCAAGTTCCAATGAGTTGTGGCGTTTGCGGATAAATCCGGCGTTAAATCGAAAGGCATTAAACAGTACCCGTGCGGGTAATCCAATCGTGATACGTTATTTCCCTCGTTCAAAAAATGTATTCCACTTCCAGAAAATAATGTGTGGTAGGCCCTTACGTATAATCCTTCCTGAGTGAAATCTGGTTGTAAAGGTTTTGACGGAATTTGTTGACCATCAATGTACAAAGACATGTAATTAATCTTGTAATGATGGAAGTTGAACGGATTAGAGGCGTATTCACCGTTAAACGCTTTATTCGAAACAAAACCAATTATGCAACGTTTTGGTAGTTGTCCAAGGAACACGTTGTCCAATGATTTGCGTTGAAGGCCTGCGGGAATGGTCAGCACTTTCACATCCGCTCGACTAATAGGATATTTTGCCGGAGTGGTTTCTAATGCTTTTGTGTGGGCGAGAAGAACTACCGGATTAATTTTCATTCTTCTAACCAGCAAGCTGGCGTCCACAATTTTCACTTTGTATGTTGATCCAAAAGCGGCCATTAAACTGAAGGAGTCTCTTGTTCGAACAAACTTTACTTTCATTTCAACACCATTTATGAGGAACTTTTCTTGATTGAATAAATCCGCGTGCACATGTCCAATCATTTCCACCATTTTGCCTAGTTTTGTGGAATTTTGACGAGTGGTGAAACCCTTGTTATCGGTTGTTAATGCGTCCATTTGCTTCGGAGTATCATTATGCCATAACGAGCACCCCAGATGAGTTGCTTTGGCTTCAGACCCATAATTCAACAGTGTTTCAATGTATGCACGATACGCATAAGTATTACTTGGTGGTGACACTAATTTCTGATTCAAACATACTTCCACTTGACTGAACAGCGTATGTAACCAATTGTTGGCAGGTGCTACAACATCTTCTGTACTCAATGCAGTGTCATCTTGTTTTAGAATTTTCGCCGTAACGTAGAGCATAGTATGACTTAAATCGAGGTAATCATTTCCATTTCCGGGGACCACGAATTCAATCGGAGCGTCGTCTGATAGTGATGATAAAGGTTTGTAAAACACCCATTCTCCACCTTCGATACTGGTTTGTGTTGCGGGAAGTGCAAATAAATCCAACTCAGACTTGATACATTCACATGACTGTGCGTGAAGGAACGCCATTCTTTGAGAAAATGTCGCTGAATTTTAGTTTAACAACTTTTCTCTTAGGAGCTTTTTTCACCCTTGTAGTTTTCTTCTCCGCGGCAACTTTATACTGACCATAATCGATCATGTGTGGTCTTTTATAACCAGATCCACGCATTAACGTATCAATTTTTTCATCGGCTTTTCGTTTAAGGTTTCTTCCTGCTTCTCCAATTCGCTCTTGAAACGCTTCTTTGATTGGTTTATCTTCAATTATGTCTCCTAGTACATTTGTACCAGTTCTTAAAGCTTCTTTTCCCACAGCGCGCATTCCCGATTTAAACAAGGGTAATATGGAACGGAACACTCCGCCCAGCCAGCTCCCAATCCCATGACCTCTTTGGTACGGCACACCTCTATAAATCGTGCCAATACCAGACCCCGCCTGATTTACGTAGTATTGTTGGTACGGACAGTCCATTTCTTAAAATGTAGTTTTAAGCTCAATGTTCCAAACTCGAATGGCATAGAAGCGCCTGTATCGGTCCTTATATTTATCTCGATATTTTCAAACTCCTTCGTCATCACAGGCATATAGTGCGTCGGCGAAAACACTACGTCTTTATGACTTCCATAAATGTAATTTTCGGCGGTAATATTAACTAATCTCATCAGTGGTGATAGCACATCTCCTACGATTTGTGGTTCCACAATGTCACAATAAATGAACATCTGTGAGGGTAAGCCTGACCAAATACTTGCGGGATGTGGTGGTATGGGATCACGTACAATATTTTGTTCTGGTCGATACCCAAGCTGTAAAGCTAATCTTTCGGAAAAACCTAGTACTGAGAGAGGCATCCGCAATGCAACCTCCACACGTTTAGTGATCCTGTGATATTTTATTGTGATTAACTTTCCTAAATTTTCATGGTTGTTTATTTCTTTAAGAATATCTTCAATATTTTCGTAATTACCAGCATCAAGTCTGATCACGTACCATCCTCTGTTTTTATACATAGAGGAACCGAAATTATTACGGAAAAATGTCGATGCACTTTCTAAAACTTTATTTAACGGAACTTCATTTATTGGGGAGTCTCTGTAGTAAATTAAATTATCTGATTCACTGATGGACGCAAACGCACAAGGATATTGTATTTCTGCTATACCCACGGCCCAACTACCACTTAATCTTATACGTTTTGGCAACTGTGTAACAAAATGCGAAGTTGTATTGGTAGGAAAATAATCAAGTGAGCTGTTGCTTAACAAGGTAATGTAGAATTCGTCCTCCATTTTATATATTTTTCAGTTCTGATGCGGTTACCCACGAATTGAATTTGTCACTATATCCTTTCCACTTCACTAAATACTTTTTGTTTTTTCCTCTTCCTTTTTCTTCCAAAACTTCCTCAATTTTATATACTGTATCTTCGTCTATCGTAACAGCTTGCAGTTCTTCTTCATAAAAAGTTCCTTCTATATCCTCACCGTTTAAATCCACAATTCTGTACACAGGCGGACGTCTCTTTATAACTTTAATAATTTTAAACACTTCTTGACTAAAATTGCTCTCATAGCCCTTCTCAAAATGATATTTGCTTCTGGCGATTCTCACGTGTTGTCCAACTTTATATATAGGTCGAGTTTCTTTGCCAAAACCCTTGGTGTAGAGATTCTGCCAAACTCTCAAAATGTTTTCTTCGTTGACATCATCAGGTGCCATCTTGATTGATGAATGGTAGGCTTTATTGTATGCAGACACCAAATCTTGTAGAACATCCACGTATTTGAAAGTGTTTTTATATGTAAAGTATCGGAACATTTTTGTTTTTAAATTTCTGTTTAGGCGCTCGATTACAGCAGCTTTTACGTCGGGATTATGAGTGACATAATAATTTATATCGTATTTTTTAAACAATTGTTGAACGCTTGAGGCAATAAATTCTTTTCCTTTATCCGTTTGTATATTATCAGGTGTAGTGGCACATTCCTTAAAAATGGAAGAAAACGCCTCAATTATAGAATTTGCAGTTTTTTGTTTGATCGGTCTTGCCCAAGCTTTTTTACTGAATACGTCAATGACCGTTAATATGTAATTATATCCTCTGTTGTATTTAGATATGGTTCTCATATCACAAAGATCGGCTTGCCATAATTCAAACATGTTGTTAACTATGTATTTGTTGCGAGGAAATTTTCTTTTAATGGGTTTGTGTACAGTGTATGCCTCTTGTTTTTGTAACCATGCTTTTACATCTTCAGGCGAATATTTATTTTTTAACGCCGAAGACAAGGCCGAAACTCCTGCGAATCCTGCAGGATGTGAAGGGTCATAATATACGCTTTCCATCTGCTTAAAGTTTAAAGGTTTTCCATCCGGGAATATGTAATCGTTTAGAAGTTTTCAGTCCAGTATTCCATCCACCACGTTGTAGACCACCAGCACTTTTAGAACGTGTTCTCGTAGCCGTCTGCTTAAGTGCACTTCTCGTCCGTTTCGCTACAACGTCTTGATCAAGGTTCACGGTATTTTTTCTTCGTTTCGAAATAACTTCTGCGGGTTTTACAATGCTTTGTCTTCTACCAATAAATTCTTGAGGAACATTAATTTCTTTCACGAGTTCTGCAAACTGGGTGACACCTTCTGGATTTGTCGATTGTCGAGGTCTTATGGTGTCGTGTATTAAGTCGATAATATTTGATGACGGGATTACTTCGCCTTTTATTGTCACAATTCCTCTATTGTCCCACAAAATATCGCCCGACGCATTGAGTATTCGTAGAAAGCTTTCAGCTTTTTTCTTAAAAGTTTGTGGCATTGAAGCTATTATTTCATCTTGTGATATTCCCGTAGGCTTTGTTTCAATTGCTATGCTTACAGGTTTTCGCATTTGTTCCGAAAAATGTAAATATTTTTGTAAAACTTGAGAATACTGTTGCCACTTTTCATACGGACTTAAGTTAGAACTTAATACTTGGGACATTTCATCATCAATTTGCGATAAAACATCGTCTTTCCTAGTTTCACCAGCTTTAATTCGTTGCATAACTTCCTGCGGCACGAGTAACATTTTCTTTGCGTGTTCCATGATTATTGAAAAAGACTTCCGAGTAAGCCGCCAAGTAACGGTCCCAACACGAATGGCAAGAATGCACCGCCGTTTTGAATTAGTAACTGCTTCTTCTTTTTTATTTTTTCGCGAGGCGTCACCATACGTCTTAAGATGGTTTTATGACGAGTAAGACTTCGCTTCTGATCATCACTTAGTTCGACTTGTCCTTTTAAAGTGTTGTAAATACACTCACATATGCAAGCAATTTGATTATCGTCCAAACATTTTATCAACGCCAACCGCTCCTTTGATCCCAAATTTGAGAGAGCACGCAGCAACTCGGAATGTTTCGTCAGCTTTGATGTCATTATGAATGCACCAATTGATCAAGATTCAAACCTTTAATACCCTTTTTCGGTATATATATACCACACAGGCGCCATCTTCTTCGAATATCGATGTTCTATAGCGGAAAACATCCGGTGTACTTTGTTTTAAATCGAATAACAGATATCCGTGGGGTTTAGACGTTGCATCATTATACGCTTCTTCTAAAAATTTGGAGTTTTCAGGGCAAATTTGCCGCGTTAAATGCTTTATTTGTGCCCGATCTCGGGGATTTTTGAATAAAATAATGTAGTGTGCATTTAAAGATATATCTCTCTGTCCTTTTCCTTGATGAAATATGTTTTGGGTTAGAAAGAAAACACTGAGGTTACGATGATGACATCCTTTTGTAAAAAATGTCAACAATAGCTCCATTTGATTCACGCATTAAATCATCAATAATTATCAGTACAGGTTTTAAGCCATCGAAACTGGACATATCGGGTAAGCCTTGATGGAATTCAACACCTTTTAGATCTTCGTACAATGACTGCCATTCCCCGTAATGCCAAACTATTTTTTCAAACAGTACAGAGCAGATGTTTGTTATATTTTTTAGAAAGTTTACAATAAAATAACTCTTTCCCGACCCGCTTGGGCCACTTACAAGAGCGGAAAATGGATGAAGAAATTTATTTTCCATTGTAATGTCTCGAAGTATAACACCAAACTGATTAAAAGAATGTAGAACTTACATTTATATTTATTTACATTTATTTGTACAAGAACCTATCATCAAAAGTTTGCATATAATCCTCTATCTTATCAATCACAAAATACGGATACTTATGGACTAACTCATGTATAACTAAAGGTTCAGTAGTTAAATTTGTTAGCAAATCGTTATAACTCACATCTTTTTGCTGACGTCTATCCAGAATGTCCACAACTTTTTCTACAAAGTTTTTGAAAGGACAATCATTACCTTCCAAATAATTACCCAAATAATTAAGCTTCTGACGTAAGTAGTCTGCCATAGCGATCACTTTTTCCAGGGTGACGAGTCCCAAGTACAGTTCACAGTGGATTTCTTTCTTCGAAATGATACGCGAAGCTTTATATTTTCTGCAGCACCGTACATGAAAATCTTCTAGATCGAAAGTTTCATCTTCTTCCTCGCGCTTTACTGCTCCGACGATGTCTTCTAATTCGGTTAAAAAACTCTCGAAGGCACTCTTTGAAAAATATATGCTCCGATCCTTGCCTTGTATCTTGACACAGGGGCAATCTTCAAATACGTCTAGACCCACTTTCAGGATTTTGGATCCACTATTATTTAGATTTAATGTCGACTCACTGAGTAATTGCTGTCGTTCTTTATCCATAAACTTGTTATGTATGCGCTTACGGTCTTGTGTTGATAAACAAAAATCTTCGTGTCTGGGCACTGGATTATTGTAAGATGAGATGTTGTATTCCTTCATAACTTCCCTGTCGAATGCTCGGTGATCATCCTCTGTGTAGCAGAATTCTGGCGATGATGCAATAGGCTTGTAGTAATTGAGTGTCGTCGACAACTTTTCAGCAGTACGAGGATCTCTGGGGTTTGTTGATGGACGAGAATAAGGTTTGCTGTACGAAAACATAATCTCTAACGAAATGTAAAATTAGAAAACAATTGCAACAATTTAATTACCAATTAGAAAACAATTGCGACTATTTAATAATCAATTATATAAAAAAACAGAGGCGATTGAACTTACTTGTAACTTTGAACTAGTACACTGACACAATATCACGTTGAACACTGAACTGAACACAAATGAGAACGAGTTGCAACCCTCATCAGCTTTATAAACACCGCGTAACTGTAAATCTAATACGTCACTATAATCGCGAATTAAATTAAAAAACTGAGTCATAGTTGTGCAGGTGACGATGAGTCATAACGAGAATAAAAGAAAATGATTGACGTGGTGCCATCAAGACGACCACAAATACAAAAGATGTGGTTATTCATGCGGCAAACAGGTTTAGCGAGTTATGAGTCATACTTGTGCAGGTGTCCTGAACAAAAAGAAAGCACTTATCCGCCCAGCGTGAACTAAGTGCCTTTCCATGTAACCGGAAGTAGAAACAAAAGAAATTATTGACGTGGCGCCATAAAGACGGCCACAAGCACAAAAGATGTGGCTATTCACGCGGAAAACAGGTTTAGCGAGTTATGAGTCATGCATTTTAAACAATAGATCGTGTTTAATCAAGCGGAAAACCGGTTTTAGGAGAACAATAGAGCGTTCGGTAATGTTCGGAAGGGATCGGATTCTATTTTACCTGCTCTGATATAAAGATCTTATTTTCGGGGACTCGGAATTACTTGCGTTCTTACATTTGTACGTGCGTATTTTCTCGAGTTTTACGTGATCTTTGTGTTTGTGCTTTGTGTGTGTATTTAAACTTGTGCAATGGCCTTTCCGAGGATGCCATGGTTAAGGTGTGTGAGCAGCTACACAATATGATAACTTCCGGTTAAGTGATTCCTGAAGAAGAAGACATTGTGCACTTCAGGCGTCTTCGTGATGTAGTGGGTACCATTCAAACGCGCCTGCTTCAACAAAATGTGGTAAGTTTTTAATATTTGTACACTTATAAATTTCTAAATATAAATTTCTTTGTAGAATTCCCATCACGTTGCTGCTATAGCAAACAATCCGCAGTCGCAGCCCCTCGACCTCTGTGTGAAAGTAAGTTTATTTAATTTTTAAAGTTTCGTTTTCTAAATGTTGTTTATTTGTACAGAATGAAGTTTCGCCGTCCACTAGCCGTCAGCTTCAAGGAGGGCAATCTCAGCCCCTTGATCTCACTGTAAAAGTAAGTTCATTTTATTTTTTTGGAAACTTGTTGATACTTTAATTGTAAATTTCATTACAGCATCCACCGTTGCCATCTGCCCCTGGCGACTACAAACCCCAATCGCAACCCCTCGATCTCTGTGTGAAAGTAAGTTTACTTTAATTTTAAAAGTTGCTTCATATGTTAATTGTACATTTCCTTACAGCATCCACCGCAACCTTCCGTTTCGGCTTCCCATGCAAAGCCTAAGCGAAAGCATACTGCTCCGTGTGTAAATAATGTAAGTTGAATAATAATAATAATTTTCAAGTGCGCAAGTTCTAAATGATAACGTCTTTACAGATTCTTAACCCTCAACCATCAACATCGAGACTACAACCAACCGCACCTATAGTGCCCTGTGTAAATAATGTAAGTTTTGCTTTAATTATTCTAAACAAGGAATTTAATTAACTTCTTTGCAGCTGAACTCTGAACCATCGACCTCTGCTCTGCAGCCATTATCGGACCAAGTTGGCCGTGGAGTACCTCAACGCTTCTCTGTGTTGTCCGAGGGGGAGCGCTTGATAAAAAAATTCAATTTGACGGCTCAGCAGTTGATGATTAAGTTCAATAACGCGGAATCCAATGAAGCACCTCTAGAATGGCTTAAGGTATCCATACAAAGCTATTTTATTAAAGAAATTTCATTGGAGTTGTTCTGTTACAGAAATCACTGGCTGCTCTTATTAATTACGTGACTAAGAGGCGTAGTGTGAGTGATCGCATTGGGTTAATGCTGACCAATAGTGAGTTCCCTGACAACCCTCTGGGATTCTCGTTCAGGCGTGTGGACCAGCTGAATGCTAACGTCATGCTGAAGACCCTGGAAAAAGTGATGCAAAGCAATCGGACGTTCTTCGCAAGTGCAGCACTACGGATTGATGTGAGTCTAATTACCCTCCCTAATGGACAGGGACGCAAACGAATGACCGGAGTCACCTTCGCGGCGTTCTCTCAGCAAAAACACGGTATCATTCTTATTAACAACGATGATACTCTGTGCCTCGCTCGGGCCCTCGCAACAGCCCTAGCTTTCCGGAACAACGACCCCGAGTTTGAACTGATGAGAGCAGGATTTCCTATACAGGGACAAAGAGCTGAAGCATTGTGTGTAGCTGCTGACGTTGATTTATCAGCCGGAGGTACCATCGAGCACATACGTCAGTTTCAGGATTACCTGACGGACTTCACCATCGTCGTGTACAACCACAGATTGGGCAAGACGACGTACTTTGAAGGTCCCCGGTCACCGCAACGGCAAGTACTGAACCTGATATTCGAAAACGATCACTATAACGTGATAACCAGCCTGACGTCCGCGTTTAGTTGTGGTTACTTTTGTGAGTCGTGTCGCATCAGGATGAGTCGCCGGGAGCAGCACAAAAACTGCAAGTACATTTGTCCCTGCTGCCACACAACTCCCCCGTGCAACAAGGATGCTGAAAACATAAAGTGTGCGGCGTGTAATCGCGATTTTCGAGGCCTCGAATGCTACCGGTATCACAAAGACCAAAACTTGTGCACGAAGGTACGCAGATGTCGCGCGTGTTTGACTACAGTATGGAAGGAGAAGAAACCACACAAGTGCGGTGTCAAGAGATGCATTACTTGCCAAGCTGACCGTCCAATACGTCATCTGTGCTACATGGCAAAGAATACCCCCGACCAAAAGAAGTTGAGCAAAGACTTTGTGTTCGTGTTTTACGATTTTGAGTGCCGACAAGACGATCAGTTTGAAAATCGTGGTGACACTTTCGTACATGTGCCCAATTTGTGTGTCGCGCAACAACTGTGCAAATCGTGCATCAAAACCAACACAGACATCAATATCCTTTGTGATAAATGTGGTCCTCGGCAACACATATTTAAACAGGACCCCGTTAATGAACTTTTAAATTTTGTGTCCACGCTAGCGCGTAAAAATCGTGATGTCGTGGCTATTGCGCACAATAGTAAGGGATACGACAGTATTTTCATTTTGAAGGAGATGATGAAGACTCCCTCTGCCTGGAACCCTGAGATAATTGCGACAGGAACAAAAATTACGTCACTGTCATGTAATAACAACATTAGGTTCATTGACAGTTTGAACTTTATGCCCGTCCCTTTAAGCGCTCTTCCGAAAACGTTCAGTTTTCCTGGGTGTAAAGGACACTTCCCACACTTCTTCAACACTCTGGAAAATGTGAATTACACGGGGCCACTGCCTGCACCGCATTTTTATGGGGTCGACGAAATGTCTGAAAAAAATCGCAACGATTTCTTCAAATGGTACAACGCAGAAGTGAACCGTAACGCGGTATTCAATTTTAAGGAGGAAATTGTAAAATACTGTACCCAGGACGTCAACATCTTACGACTGGCGTGCGTGGAGTTCTGGCGAAAATTCACAGCCGAAAACGGCGTGGATCCATTCCGCGAGTGCTGCACCATTGCCTCTGCGTGTAGTCTGGTGTTCCGGAGGAACTTCCTTCAAGAGGAAACGATCGGCCTCATTCCGCATGGAGGGTATAGGATGGCTGACAATCAGAGCAGAGTCGCCATCAAATGGCTTGTCCATCTACAAACCACCGAGGTCCCCGACCTTCAACATTCCGGCAACACCCGAGAAGTCCGTCTAAAGGAGGGGATCCTTGTCGATGGCTACTCACCAGCTACGAACACGGTGTACCAGTTTCACGGGTGCTACTATCACGGATGTGAGTCATGTTTCCCGGATCAGACGGCGCAACTAAAAGGAAATAGGACTGACACAATGGGAATGCGACGTGAGAAGACGGAGGCAACGTCAACTCGTATTAGGGGCGCAGGCTACAGGTTGGTTGAGATGTGGGAGTGCCACTTCAAGACATATCTCACCAATAATCCAGAGATTGCCGATTTGTTGAACGGGGATAATATCTTAAAACATGAACCATTAAATCCACGTGATGGTTTCTTTGGTGGACGTACGAATGCCATTAAATTGTACCACAAGGCCGAAGAAGGGGAGGAGATCAGGTATTTGGACGTGTGCTCCCTCTATCCATATGTCAACAAGTATGGGAAGTATCCTCTTGGCCACCCGCGTGTACTGGTTACAGCAGAAGAACTACGGTCCGTCAACCTAAACACCGTGGAAGGCATGGTGAAGTGTACTGTGCTTCCACCCCAACACCTCTACCATCCTGTGTTGCCGTACAGATGTCACGGAAAGCTTATGTTCCCTCTGTGCCGTACCTGCTGCGAAACGATGGAGCAAGGGGAATGTGAGCACCCTGAAGACCAGCGCCGCTTCACAGGCACCTACGTAGCAGACGAGCTACGGAAGGCCATCTCATTGGGGTACGTAGTTACCGATCTTCAAGAAGTGTGGGAGTATAAGACCACCCAGTACGATCGTCAAACAAAAAGCGGCGGTTTATTCTCGGGTTATGTGGATAACTTCCTCAAAACGAAGCAGGAGTGCACCGGTTGGCCAGCTTGGTGCGTAAACGAGGAAGCGTGCATGCGCTACTTGATGGAGTACATGGAGCATGAGGGAGTTCTACTTGATCGAACCAAGATTGAAGTAAACGCAGGACTCCGCTACATCGCCAAACTTTTCCTCAATTCATTTTGGGGAAAGTTTGGCCAACGCGACAATTTGACAAAAACTACCCTTGTCTCTGAGGCTGAGCCGTTTTTCCAAATGCTCACGGATCCGTCCAAGGAAGTCAACTCGATCATACCCGTGAACGACGAAACCCTTATCGTCAACTGGACTCTCCCCGAAGAAGCCGTCGACCCCCTGAAAACCACGAACGTGGTACTGGCCGCCTACACCACAGCCAACGCCCGCCTGGTACTATACGAATACCTGGAGAAGCTTGGAAAACGTGTTCTCTACTTCGACACGGACTCGGTTATTTTCACTCAGAAGTCCGACGAATGGACTCCTCCAACCGGCAGTTTTCTCGGTGACATGACTGATGAAGTAGAGTGTTATGGGGCAGGGAGCCGAATTGTGGAATTCGTGAGTGGTGGCCCAAAAAACTACGCGTACAAAGTGTTTTCCCCCAGTGCGAACAAGTATAGTGTCGTATGTAAAGTTAAGGGCATCTCCTTAAACTATAAAAACAGTGTTGTGGTGAATTTTGAAACTATTAAAGACGCAGTGTTAAATAATGCCCCGGAGACTTACGTAGAGTCAGATCGACGTATAGCTCGTACGTGTACGTTTGACGTTATCTCCAAACCGGAGAAGAAAAGGTACCGTGTGGAGTACACGAAACGACGTCGATTAGAGCAGGGGTACGACACACTACCTTATGGATATAAAACGTAATTCTTGGATAGTTTGTAAATATTAGTTTTAAGTTAGTTTTTAGTGTGTACATATTTAGTTTTTAAGCTTGTACATATGTTCTGTGGATTTAGGCATTGTTGCAATAAATATAGGTAATTAAAACATGTTTGCTTATTTCTAGCTTCTATTTCAGAAAAGTGAAGTGAACTAAGTGCAATGTGTAAGACAGAGATAAACGCATTGAGTAAGAGAGAGAGAGAGAGAGAGAGAGGATAGAGATAGAGAAAAATTTGAATTTCCCGCCTTTGGCGACCATTTTGTCTTTAATTTTAGGATAATTACATGTGTGTAATTACTCATTACATATGTGCAATTATTTACTACATATGTGTAATTAGCTTCTTTATTATGCCTTCTAATTAAATTAATTAGATCAATCAAACCGCGAATTAAATTAATCGAAGGAAATTCCAGGAAATCAAACCGCGAATTAAATTAATTAGAACAAATTCCAAGAAATCAAACCGCGAATTAAATTAATCAAACTGCGAATTAAATTAATCAAACCGCGAATTAAATTAATCAAACCGCGAATTAAATTAATTAAGCCACCGAATAAATTAATCGATCAAATCAAATGTCAATAAAGACCAAAATCCCACAATTTTTAATTAATTAACCAAATCAAAGTCCAAATTCCACGAAATCAACCAAAAACACCCCCGGCCACGTGGACGGCCCCCACCAATCAATTTAATTGACCTTGATTGACCCCGCGAATTCCAAGATGGCGCCGGAAGTGTCGTGGTTCTACTTGCGACCCACCCTCGCCGTCATTCAGCTCAGCATTAGAATTCCCGACGTCTGAAACATCTTCACCAGAGATTTTGACAAGTGCGGCTTTTTTGCAAATTGAATTTTTCACTTTTTCAAATGCAGTCGGATTTGAAAATCCTTGCTTTTTAAACCTGGGGTCGAGTACTGTACATTCTGCCAAAATTAGTCGCTCCTCGATGTCCCCAAATCGTTTTCTCAACTCTTGATTAATTTTGTCGACGAATAGAATGACTTCGTTCGGTTCTCCATTAACGTTATATTTGGAAAAAAAGGTTACTAGCCCTTGGGAGAACAATATAAGCTTAGAGATAGTAACTTCCTTCTCTGAGCTAACTTCCTCCGTAACTTCTAAAAATGGCTGAAAGAGGGCACATAAAGTATTCAAAATGCGAAATTCTTCTTCGCGCAATATTAGTTCGGGTTTGATTAAAGCTAGAGTCGATACCAATGCTTCTTTGTTTTTGACAATGCTCTGGAACATTGTTAGGGACGAGTTCCATCTCGTTGGCACTTCTTGTTTCAGAGTTTGTTCTGCTAAGCCCATTTGCCTTTGAAAATTTTTTAACTACGATGAAGCAAGTGTGCTTCTTTTGAAAAACTCCACAGCGGACTTTGCTCTGGTGTGTATTTCTTTTATTTGCTCCAACCCTTTTTGCACAATTAAATTTAATGTGTGGGCGAAGCATGGAATATGATTCCAACCTAAAATCCTACTAGTCGCGATCATGTTAGCTGCATTATCCGAGACAAGAGCTTGCACTTTACCTATTTTATTTTACAAATTGGTTTTATTTCAGCAGCTATATTTTCTGCCGTGTGTCTTTCATTATAAACAAAACATTCCAAAAGACATGACTGGAATAAACACTCTTCATTTAAAAAATGGACTGTAACAGCTATATAGCTCTCATTATTAGCCGATGTCCAAGCATCGGTGGTTATACTGCAAGCCGTTGCCGATTGTAATTTAGCGCGTACTTTATCTGCTGTTGCGACGTATGCTTGCTCTAATAAAGTATTTGAAATAGTTTTTCGCGATGGTACACTATAGCCTGGGTTTAATTGTTGGACAAATTGGCGAAATTCCGGTTGCTCGACTAAATTAAATGGGTGAAATTGCTTAACTATTAATTTCAGCAACAACTCGAGTATTTTGCTCCTGCTTACTGGAAGTGGACGTTGAGAAAAACTATGAATTTTGCTTTGCACCTTTCCTGCTGCTGATCTGAATCGCTGCAGATGTGTAGACCTAGGCGCGTTTATTTCTGTTGATTCAGACGTTTCACATACAGCCGAAGTGGACGCCATGGACGTGGACGGCCCGGGTGCTCCCGTTTCAGTAGACGCCGATGATGGAGTTATTTTTTTACATTTTGTTAGTACTCCCCCAGACCCAGGATGCTTCAAAGCCAAATGCCGCGATAAATTGGATGTTGTACCACTTTTAAAAGAATAAATAGTCAAGCAGAAAGTGCATTTGGCTTTTCCCTCAGACACTTGATCAAAATACCTCCAAATATCACTTTTTTACGCGAGTCTCCCATTACTGATTACGGATTAACACAAAAAACAAAACGAAAATATTACTACGTGTGTCCAAGTCTCCAAGTACCACAACTACAAAAAATAGCACAAGCCACTAAACTAAATGAAAATGAATGCCCAAGTATAACTAAACTAAAGACCTAAGACCATATTTAGCGCTTTTAAGGTAAGGGAAAATAATCCAACAATTTATGACGCTATGGGCAATTGTTAATTGTTTTGTTATTAGACGGCGACAGTGTTGACGTTGAGGATAATAAAACCCTCTATTTCTCGCCGACCTGAATGATGACTCAGTACAAATGTATTGTATAGGTCTAGGTGTAGGTGTAGGTACACATCCTGTCGTATACGGTTACGGTATAAGATAATAAGATGAGTCAGAGGGTAAGGTTTCATTTTCAACCTTCCGTCGACGGCAACGCGACATAAGAAAGTGTTATATTAGTTTCCTCAACACAACACCCTATGGAACGCCGTTTTACTTTTAAATACCTACGGAATTAAAAGATTAAAAAAAATAATTTTACATGAAATCATTATATCTAAGAGATAATATTAAATAATTACAAATATCTTAGATATTTAAAATGCTGTAGATGTATTACAATACGTTATAGATATTTCTAAAACAGTGATTTAAAAATATCAAACGATATTTTTAATTCATTTAAAAATATCAAATGATATTTTTAATTCATTTAAAAATATCAATCGATATTTTTAAATCCAAACATTTCTTTCTGACTATCATGTTTTAGGTAGTATTTGAGTTAACAAATAAATTTAATTTTCTTATTTCAAAACGACAAATATGTAAATATCTTAGATATGTTATAATGTAGTGATCTAATTTAAAATATCTTAGATATTGGTATTGAAGCGCATTTCAAATATCTTAGATATAGAAAATTACCGCCATCTGTCGGACTTCTAGTACAACTGTTAAGTTTAAAATGAATCTGACAACACTGCATTAGTGCATTCCAAGAGTTGTTATGTTTGTGCAGTTGCATATGTTGTATGTGAAGCTTGAAATTGAAACCTTGGAAGTGGAGAAGTTAGGTGTACGGTGTACGTGCAATTTTATTATTAATAGAGATTAGAGACAGTAAATAATATTTATTTTCTGTATGCTCGTGTAGTAAATTACAGTCATAATGGGTAAGTAGATAATTCATTATGAATAATGTCCTTTTCCTCAAAGTTCAGCCACGTTTTAAGTATTGTCTCAACTTTTAATCATTGTTATACAAATGGTTTCAAGAATTGTTTTTAATCTTTACCAATATCTCTACTTAAGTGTGGCTTAATTTGTAGTTGTACAAAAGGTCATGCATACAATAATTATAAATTTGTAACACCTGTTAATTAATTTTATTTTCAGAGAGAAATATCACAAGTAATTCTGTTGGAAGCATTCTGAGGGCAATCAACACAGTAGCCTACAACCCCACGCCAGAAGAGCAAACTTCATCATCACTTCAAAATTTATTAGCTGTCACACGACAATCATTCAGACCTAATCGTAGCCTTGAAACACCAAAACGTGGTAGAAAAAGTAGTAACACTTATAAAAGGAGGATATTTTTAATGAAGTTGGCTCACTGTGACTTCTTGCCAGCAATCCATGAGCAGAAGTTTTTAAATAAGAGAGGTTTAGGTAAGTAAATAGAAATTCAAAGGCACAGTCATTTGTGAAACTCTTTATCGACTGTTATTTATGGATTTGTCTTTATACAGGGTGTGTCACAAAAATTTGCACACTTAAAGAGGTTACAATCTATTTAATAAAAATATTGTAGTGTGTAGCATTTCTGCTTATGTAACTATATTACATGTGAACATCAACTTCGTTATCTTAAATAGAACACTCCATATGTTATTACATTTTTAGATTTCTTATGCAGAGAGATGCTTCTAACGTTTTGTTGAAACTTTTAAGATCAAATGTTATACAGAGATTATAAAGCGACTCAAATATGTGTTGATTCCTATTATTGCGCATTAAAAGCTTTAATTCATAGATAAACAAACATTACATTTTTTAAAAGATACATAGGGACTGTTATCTTAGATGTATTGTAGAATCCAAAACTGAAAAAATATACTGGGTGTTCTATTTTTAAAAATTGAGTAAACAAATTCTTTATAAATAAAAATTGTCAAGTCGCTGTATTTGGTCCCAAAATGTCAACAAAATACGTTAGACCCATCTTTTGATACTTGATACTTTGACATATGCCTGGCGTTGCCGCCTCCCCCAGAATTTAGTCAACTGTCATGGAGATGCGTCCCTGGTAGAAGCTAACAGGGGTGCATCTCCACCACTTTTGTTGCCATTGCGCTGGGTCGCGACATATGCCAAACAATGTGGTGGATTTTATGGATTGGGAAGGTTGTGGGGGGGCGGCTAACTGGGGTTTTGCCCGACCCGCAAGGGTACGGCCCCAGCTTCGCCACTGGTAATCTGCCTTAGTGGGAACTCTGCTTTCTGTCAGCCTCCTTACTTCCATCTCTTCATTAGTTTCCAATGTCTCCGTTCTCTGACATCGCTTCCTTCCCCCTGTTCTTACCTTCCCTTCACTATTGTTCTCCCTCGGCACTTTCTTCTGCCTCTTCCTCCTCCTCCTCCTCCTCTTGGCTGCTTGTGCTTATGTCTGATTCTTCCTCCACCTCCAGTATTCGTCTGCTTTCTTTCTTCATTTGGTGTTTGTCTCTGCTCCACTTCTCCCACTGTTCTATGTGTATCCCCAAAGCTGCCACTGTTTGGTCTATAGTGGTGTTCCACGTGAAGCAGGGCCGGCCTATCTTCCATTCCAAGGCACGTAGATTCTTGGCGAACTGCAGGATGTGGTCTTTGTGTTTGTAAAATTCCATTCAGTCCTGTTCATTATGTTGCTCAAGTAATTAGAACTGTTTTGCAACTGCTAGTCTGCAAACAGCATTTTTTTTATAATTTAATTAAATCAAAAACAGTAGATTTTAGACACATAATGTGATGTACAAAAGTATCTTAGAATTGCATATGGAATCTAAAAATGTAATAATATACTAGCTCAAGGAGCCAATTGAAATTATTTTGAATAATTTTCAAGCAAAATGAATTCAGTATTTCGTTATCTCGCGTTTTACATGCAAACATTCTTCTTGAAACTAATAAAATAGTTTTGACGTTTATCCAAATTGTTTTAGTTTAATGCCAAGTAATTTATGTTTACTTACTCTGTTTGAAACTATGGTTTATTTACATAGGACAAGCTGGGCCCATCTCAATAAAAAGAAGCTGGCCATCATCGCGTATTAAAGATGAGATTGTCCAAGCATTTCCTAACAGTATTAGGGATTTGCTAAGAATGTCTGATTTTACATTAGCTAAGTGTGATCGTCAGAAAATGCTGATTCATTTGGAGCTGCCGGAGAGGTTTAATGGTTTAGACCTTGAACTACAACTTGGGAATGGAATGCTGATACTTATTCCAAATCACGACTTTCCCAATAATCTGCCCATTCTTGAAAAGGAGAACCAGAGTCCTGTTAGTTTTAATGACTCAGAATATGATTCAGATTTTGAATTACCTTGTAAGTATTTTCTGTTTTATGTACCTATCTATAATACAAATAATATTAATTAGCTTCTAAAAGACCGAGCAGAGAAAGACGGTCTCTGATGCCTGATACTGCAGTTTCGAATTTAGAATTATCTCGTAAGTATTTCCTGTTTGATTTACCTGTCTATGATACAAAAAACGTTCATTAGCTTCTACAAGACCGAGCAGAGAAAGACGGTCTCACATACCTGCCACTGCAGTTTCGAATTTAGAATTATCTCGTAAGTATTTCCTGTTTGATTTACCTATCTATGATACAAAAAACGTTCATTAGCTTCTATAAGACCTAGCAGAGAAAGACAGTTTTTGATGTCTGCTACTACAGTGTCGGATATTAGTAATTTTTCTGGAGGTATCACTCTACCGGAAGCTTCGATCCTTCCAGTAGCTGGTTCATCATCTTCCTCCACATCACTTTTACAAGACGTTTTAGAAACAAGTAAGTATAAAATTTTGTTGTATATTTAACATTTCATTTTTGTAGCACATACAGAAGAGTGGACATATGATATTTTTACACAAAGTGAAGTTGTTTTTCCCACCTTGCAAGAGGATGCAGATACACAACTAGTTGATGTAAAACGGCAAGATGTCATTGACGTTATGTTCAGTATATACCAAAATGAAGGAATAGGTTGTAAGAAACTCTCCGTTCAATTCGTGGATGAAAAAGGCGTAGATGGTGGCGGCCTAACTGTCGAATTATTTACCATCTTTTGGAATGAAATTTTTGCATCTCATACTTATTTCAAAGGAAATGATGTCTTAGTACCATACATCCCCCTCCATAAACTGAGAAAGTTGAAAGGAGACTTTAAGATATTGGGCCGCATTCTAGGACACATGATGTTATTAACAGGCACCTTTCCTAATAAGCTGGCTATATATACTTTTACTGGTCTATCACTTAAAACTGAGGATTACAGCCAACATAAAAATATTCTTTTGCAAGACTTCTTGCTACTACTCACTATTGCAGAAAGAAAGTTGGTAAAAAAGGCATTACATAGTTTTACAGAATTGTCTGAAGCCGAAATTGGGAGACTCACCAGCCTGTTTTCTACTAATAATATGCTTGACATTCCTAGAGAATGTGATATTGAAGAGCAGATTATTACTATCGCTGAAAAAGTAATTATTAAAGACACAGCAGAATTATATGCTGAAATGCGAGTAGGCCTGCAACCCAGGATATTAGAATTTTTAAATAATGTCCCATTAGACGACATTATTCAAATTTGGTCGTCCAAACAACCAACCGCAGAAAAAGTTATGAATGTTTTGAAGCTTACAGTTGAACATCCTAACAACATTGAAGAACAAACTTTTTTTTACTTCCAAAACTATGTGGGATCGCTACCAATGCACCGATTATCCAAATTTTTATTATTTGCCACTGCTTCAATCCACATGCCTGAGGACATTTCTGTGTCATTCCATAATTATATTGGAGTTGCAAGGAGACCAATTGTGCACACCTGCAGTAGGAGCATTGAACTGGGTCTTGGATACGAGTCTCAGCAAAATTTTGACTCGGAAATGAATTTGTATTTGGATGACGTTACTTCATACGAATATGACCAAATGTAAATAGTAGTTAATGTTTAAGTTTGACATTAGTCATATAGCAAGTATGATCTTAAATAAACTTCTATTTAAATTTTATAAACTAATCTCTTGTACCGTCAAAAGACTGTAACAACTCACAACTGCTGCACAGAATCATAATTCCTGACATACGCGAGCTAACATTGTCTTTTTTTACTACAACTCTTAGCAACATCTGATTTTATCTAAATTTAGTTCACATATTTATTATATTAGTCAAAAACAATCCAATTTCAGGTTCCTATCTCGACAAGGTCCAAAGTTATAGAGAAAAATTTACTTAAAATTGTGATTTATGCACTGATTTCTTTGGAAAAGTGACCAAACGTTTTACCTTGATGCCGAAAACGATCAAACGGTTTATTTGACTATACAAAAGAACTCGTGTAGTTTGATCAAACGATCTCGAATCGATTTTTATGCAACATTTTCTTTAAAAATCAACCAAACGTTTTACTTCGATACTCAATGTATGGCTTTATCCCAATCTATGACTTAAAAACTTTTTTTCAAAAAATTCATAAATTGTGGTTGAAACACAGGTTGGAACCAAAAATTATGAAAATCCATCTATTATCAAAGTAAAATGTTAGGTTAATTTTTAAAGAAAATGTTGAATAAATAAAAATTTTAAGATTATTTGATCAAAACACACATGATCTTCAAACAGTAGCAAACTAAGAAATTTTTGCGTAAATAACGTTTGTTCAATGTATATGGATATCAGAAAATTTGAAAAACCTATCTCCTAGGCATCAAAATGGAACGTTTGGTTGTTTTCTCAAAGAAATCAGTGCATAAATAACAATTTTGAGTAAATTTTGCTCCATAACTTTTAAAAAAAAAGTTAAAAAAGACAGCGTCAAGACTTTGGTGGTGGTTAATTCTACCCTGTAGTGTAGATATAAAAATAACTCGACTACAGCCAGCCAAAGTGAGATATAAAGATCAGATATGAGCTCCCTTATCTACCCTCAAGCATCGCAACATAGTCATATTAACACTCGCCGAATTTGATTTGCATTTTTTTGTTAGAAATGTTTCCTCTGCAAGCTACCCTCCTTAAAATGTCCCCAAAAGAATTTAGTTTTTGAGACCAGAAGCTTTAAAAAATCCTCGCTGTTCGAATTTTTTAAAAGCATTCATAGTCTGTAATGAGTATCTGAACATTAATATCCTAATCAGTCTTTGCCCTTTGTATAGATTTATGTGAATGTCCTGTCCTTTACATATAATTCAACTAACTCGGATGACGTGAATAATTTATATTTCAATGTTATATGATTTTTATTCATGATCAACATATTATCAAATCTCATACATACTAGATCAACTACTCCAGTAAGACAAGCATATAGCACAGATCTATTTAAATCTGTGCACTGTGGACAAGTGATTTTAATATAAATAAACAATTGTAATAATTACGAACTATTACATCTAATGTTTACAAATGTTCATTACTTAAATATCTTATACATAATATATATTTATCTTTTGGCAATATGTTACTTCGTTGTATTACTTCCAGCTCATTTTGTTGTATCTCTGTTAAATTAATTACAGCAGTAAATGTTGAAAGATGTGGGTTTTCTACATTCACTATATTGTTGACACCATGCTGCTCCAAACGTTCCTGTATCCTTCCAAATAGATCAGTTTGAGAATTAAAAACTTCAAGTACAGATGTGTGATTTGTATTGCACTTGTCCAGCATTCCATCCAGCCACATTTGACGTGGACTTTTATTGCCAGTGGTACGCATAGAATGGCAATTCCATGCATTCATAAAAGCATGTAGCCTTTCATTAATAATGGGTAAATACACATACTGAATACAATATCTATGTATTTCATTATGGGGATTTAGGTAATTATCGTCCTCCAATGCATAGATTTCTTTATATATCAAGTCTATGACATCTTTATATACGTCACGCCACAGTCTTTCAATCCGTTGGTTATGAACTGATTTTCCAGCTATGTGGCTTCCTCGACCAATTCCTCTTAATAGATTCATTAATAGCGCAACAAAAATATTTTCGTAGCCATGGTCAGAACGCACTCTAGATGGAAGTCCATAATTCACAACACCACTGCAGAAAAGATTGGCAACAGGCTCTGCTTGGATGGAAGTGGCACATGATAAATATATAATCATGCGTGAATAGCCATCAATGCACCCATGCGTCACAAATCCCCATCTAGAAGAAAGATCGATAACCATGTAATTTGCATCACTGATTCATAATTATTAGGTTGGGTGTCCACCAGATCGGCCCGACCAAAGTCAACACAATCAACAATAGTACCAATCGGATCGATACGCCTAAAATCAGCAGTATGTCCACCATATTTTGGTTGTACGGTTGTGATAAGCTCATCCACAGTTAAACACAACAGTCAGTTGAAATTGAAACTAATGACAAAGATCTGCATGTGACATTGGACGACTTGCATCTAGAGATTTTAGTCAGTTTCAACTGAAATCGTGTCAGTAGTTATGCTTTACTTAAAATATAGGTGCATGATTGAAGTCGGGTAAATTTTTAGTCGGGCCGATCCTGTGGACACATGGTTTTACTAGATCGTTTATCATATCGTTCAGTTGTCTATGATAACTCAAGTTACAAACATCTTATTGAAAGTGAAACTTACTATATAAGAACTCTAGGATCTGTTTAGGAAAGAAAATGATCTGGTGTTAACAACTAGACTATTTTGATTCGCGTGTTATGGAAATTGATAGTATAGTGGGCATGAGGATTCAGCGATTGGATGACAAACGTGTATACCAATAAAACAAGAATCAAACTCATGGACACACAAGATTAGATAACCCTGTGTTATCACCAGATTATTTTCTTTCTGAAACTGACCCTATAGTAAAAGTAAGATCGCTATTGATTTTGAGGTCTCTTGAGAAACAGGGATAAAAGTTACAGGAGCTCTGTTAGACATCCGTATAATAAGACAAGTAAAATAATTAGGTAATTTGGTTGACTTCTAAGATGCATTAAAAATGAATAACCATATTAAACATATATCGAGTTACCAATTTTTAACTTACCGGGAAATTTTAAGATGGGCATCCATGTGCCATAAAGAGTTGGGACAAGGAACATTATAAGTTCGCCTTTTTACAACAGAACTCCATCTTTTAGCTGTACCCACTGGATCAATGTCATTTAATATTGAACGAATACGATTCCTCTGTACAGTTATTCCCTCTGCACGTAAAAATCCAGCAATTATCTGAAATTAATTGTTTTACAAATACAATTTCTCATACCAATGAAATATAAAATAAAAAATCTCATATCATTGATGATTTGCCTCCAGATGTAAATAATGAAATCCTGATTAAAAGCTAGTACTACTAAGAAGTGTTCAGTTCAGTTCAGTCCTAGTTATACTCCAGTTCAATAGGGGAAGGGTGATTACCCATGGGACCGACCTTGCCTATCTATATTCATACAGCTATCCTGGTTTATCCCTATAATCACAAGTTCATCAAAATCACTAAAAGGTGAATACATATTAAATATAAAATTGAGTATCTATTTATCTTTAAAAGAACAATTTCAGTTGGCAGAATGCCAATGCCTACCTTTATATCACTTTTCCGAGTACTAACTTAAGGAATATAAGTGTACTTACAACACTGCCGCTATTGGGATGCGTTTGGTGTAAATCTATAATTTTTGTTCGTAAAGCTTCATCCTCTATATCTGTATACTTTGATCTTAATTTGATCCCATGCTCGTATAACTTCTTATATATAATGCTCGTAGAACACTTAAAGTGTTTTGCCATTCTCTTTGCAGTGTATCCCTCATTATAAAATATCATGAGTTGTTCTCGTGTTATGCTAAGAGAAGGGCGACCTTTACCTGAAATTAATATGTATATTAAGCAGTTAAAATGTTCACATTTGTAAACCTTACCCGTTCCTTTTTCAGTTTGCGCATAGTAACTGTAATCACTTAAAACATCTTGTGGAAGTTCCAAGAGTACATTAATTGCAGAATTCAGTGAATCAAATGTTTCGCTACTAATTCTACAACTAATTCTACTTAGATTTGTAGATGCACTTTGCAAGTCTGAATGTTGAAATGTGTTAGTTGATTCATACATCCTACATGCATTGGCCAATGATCTTCTAACGCGTTGTAACACTTCAGCAACATCCATGTCTTTTTACCAATATGTATAATTTATAAAATATATGTACCTACGTTTGTTTTCAAAACCCTAATTCGTAAACCGCGTAAAAGAAGTAAGTAAGAGCCATTAAGAGTAAGGTTATAAACAACAAAACATAAAACTTACAATGTTGCCAGACGTTATTTAACTTAAAAATCTGCCCCTAGATAGCGGTAATTTCCAAATGTCTAAGATATTTAAAATTACAAATGTAATTTTCAATATCTTAGATATTTTAAAATGAATTTCATTTAGAAATATCTAAGATATTTTAAATTACATTTACGCATTTTTATACATCTAAGATATGTAAAAATGAATTTACAACTTATAATTATCAAAAATATTTAACTATGGTAAATGGTTTAAAAATATTATTTGTTATTTATACCTTTGTATTAAATGATATTTTAAAATCATTTAATAAAAATAAACAATATTTTTAACTTATGAAATTATCAAATGACATTTTCAAACCTTTTAAAATAAATAATTTAACAATAAGGTTTGATAATTTTAAATAATTTAAAATATTATTTGATATTTTTAAATAAATATAAAATATTTAATAATATTTTAATTTATTTAAAAATATCAAATGTTATTCTTTAATTCGTTTTATTTAAAATGTTTTAAAAATGTCATTTAATATATTTAAATCAATTAAAATTATCATTTGCTGTTTTGACGTAAATTAAAAATATGCTTTAATGTTTTAAACGATTTAAAAATATCAAACGATATTTTTAATTCATTTAAAAATATCAAATGAAATTTTTAATTCTTAACAT